AATATGTTAGAAACTAAGGGACTAATTACTAAATATAAATATATGGTCAGCGTGGCAAGCTGGGTAGATTTAGTCATTGCCGTCTATCTATATACATTCAACACGTCCTTCTGGGTGTTCCTAATTTAGCGGCAATATTAATATACCCTGTTCAGGATATAAACATACTAATGCGCCTAAAAGTAGACAAATATCATGAGAAAACTGGTATATTAAATATAACTAACTCAGAAATATACACGTAAAATATATATTTATGTCGATTTAAAAAAAAACTCCACAAAAATAAGCCTATAACACAACTAAAACCTTACGCGCCTAAAAGTAGGTAATTTTTTTTTGGGTAAACCGGTATATGCGCTATAATTATATACCTTAAAAATCGACAATAACACAACTTACAATAGCATACAAAAGACATAAATGTATTATGACTGGATACGGGAATATTGTAAGCCACGACTTATTGTCAACGAACAAAAACCGAAAGCATTTTGGTGCGCATTTTGTTAATAAAACTGACGCAAATGCTCAAAATCCATCAATCGAAGACAAAAGCACTTCCATTTGTAAACATTTCGTGGTCGTAAATTTTCAAAAACCATTTTTATGTCAACAATGAAAAGTGAACGGAAATGTGTATGCACCCATAACTGTTGATTCGTAAAAAATTTTGTACTACGAGCTTTTTGAGTATGATTATAGTTGCATTGGCATATTTTAGCGTAAGTTTATGCTTGCTAATGCTAAGTGGAAAAGAAAAGAAGTGTTTTCGAAATTTTTTTCCATAAAAACATGGAAAATGCTTCTTAGCAACAAAATCATATTTTTTTTTGGAAAAATGTTTAAGTTAAAAAAATATAACAATTTAATGCTTTTATATTAGAGTTTATATGTTTTTTTATACCTAATCTTAAAGTAAACTGGTTTTACAGTTTGACGCCTCCTGGACTAAAAGAGCTTTCTTGAGAAACTTTTTTTTTTGAAAATTTTAAATTCGAAAATTTTAATTTAAAAATTCTAAATATTTGTTTTATTAATAATTAGAAAATTTTTTAAAGTTAATTTTTACAAAAAAAATATAAAATATTTAATTTTTTAAATTCTTTTTACAAAAAATTTTAAATATTTTATTTTATTTATTAGAAAAAAGTATAACACATTTATTTGATTTTATATCAGGTCTAAAAGTAAATTGATTTGACGGTTTGTTGTCCACTGGATATTCAATGATAAACTTTTCAAAGCGCGGAAGCATTTTTTGTAAGTTTGATTATTTTAATACTAAAAAAGTTTAAGATTTTTGGTAAAAAATTAATTTCGCAAAAATTTAAATTATTTAGCAAATTTAAGTTATTTAAAATATTAAAATTTTTTTTATTTTGAAAAAAATTTAATTGAATTAATTTTATTGTAAAATTTTCACTATTTTCATATCTAATCCAAAAGCAAACTGTTTTGACAGTTTGACGTCCACTGAACTAAAAAAGCTGCTATGACAAATTTTCAAAGCGCAAAAGCATTTTTTGAAAATTTGGTTACTACAATACTTTTTCAGATGGCGCTGCTGTTAATTTGACAACTTTGATTTATGAGAAATGCAAATTCAATTAAATTTTGTTTTATTAGAGGAGTACATTATTTGTTTCAGAAATTGAAATGAAATTGGCAATATCATAAGTTTTTGAGCTCGCGAGTTTTCTTAAAAATTACTCAAAAAAAGTTCTATATGTACATTACAAACACCTTTAAAACACATAGTAGCACCTATTTTTAAAAATGTATTTAAAAAAAAATAATTAATTAAAAAATTGTAATTTTAATTTTACATATTTCAAGCTACTTTTTTATTATTTTCTAATTAAATTTAATTATGATTTTATTTTTAGTTAAATTTTTTTTAATTGTAATTGTTTTAATTAACTTTTTTTAAAATTATTATTTTTCTTTTAATTTTCCTAAGTCACTTTATAATATAATAACCCAACTATCACCCTCCTCCTGCCCAACCGACGCGAGGGGCGCAATCCGCATACGTGCGGCATTAGCAGAGTCAGAAAAGGCAAGATAGTTTTTTAAGTGTTGAGATCTAAAACTGCTCAGCTACAGAAACAAAAATTTCAACAGCCAAGATCTAAAGTTACAAAATAATAAATTGTTACATTTTCATTTATTAAGAGAAAACAATAAAGTCTTTTTAATTTTGAAAAGTGAGTCAGATAAGTCAAATGTGCTGGAATGAGAATTAAAATCATGACATATATGGCGGAATGGCTCGTTTAGTTCAACATTTGATCTACAGAATTTTAGCAGTAAAGGTCTAAACTGCCTCGAAAGGCGAACCGGGATATTAAATTTAATTTCAGACAGGAGAAAAGAACTGCAAACAGTTCCATTCAAAATTTTCACTAAGAATATTATGCCAAGCATTTCCCTACGACTAGAAAGTGTAGGTAGATTAATAAATTTTAAACGACTAGTGTATGGAGGTAGACTTACCCTAACATCCCATCGGAAATGCGCTAAGGCGAAAAGTAAAAATTGTTTTTGAACCGACTCTAACTTGTCAGAATGGATTTGGTAGCTAGGGTTCCATACAACAGAGCCATATTCCAATATAGGTCTAACCAAAGTTGTATAAAGTGTTTTAGTAATATACGGATCTCTAAATTCTTTAGACCAACGTTTAACAAAACTGGGGACAGCTTTTGCTTTCAAGACCATGGTATCAATATGAAGACTAAAATTAAGCTTAGGGTCCATATTAACTCCCAAATCAACATAGTTAAAAACTTGCTCTAGAATACGGTGTTTTATTACATAAGAAGAGTGGTGCACAGATCTACGGGAAAAGCACATCATCTTACATTTATTGAGATTCAATGGCAAATCATTTCTATCACACCATGCAACCAAATTGTTTAAGTCTGTTTGCAACAGACACCTTTCCTCAGTTGAATTAATTAATCTTTCCGCACACTTAAAACTCACTAATGAGTTGTGAAATATTTAATAATTATTTAATAAATTGGATATAATTCGATTGACGTGAAAACACTTGCAGATAATTATTTTGGCGCACAAAAATTCTAGCATTCCTTCCAAAAATAATTTTCCACAATATTCACCACTTGTTTACATCTTGGTGCAAAGAAAATAAGATATTTGCTTTTGTTTTTGGACTTTTCTGTGCTGACAGCACTTAGAACGTATTGAAGTAATGTAAGTAATATGTATACAAATAAACAAAACGAAGATATGCGAGGTTAAAATTTGGAAAATATGTGCATACAAACATAAATAGATACATACAAACATATTTACATACATACATTATGAAATTTTATATAGTAGGTATTTCTAAAAGTTTCAGCAAAGTGTTTTTAAAATTCAAATTCGCTAATAATGAAGCGAATAATATTATATGCACGAAAAATTCAAATTTTAAAAATAATTTTTCAAAATACTTTTAAAATTTTATAAAAAATTAATAATTAATAATTAAATTTTTCTTAAAATACTAAATATTTTTTAAAGTTTATAAAATCATTAAAAACCATTAATTATTTATTTTCCAGTAAAATTTATTTATATTAAATTAATTTTTTTCCACTTTTTGGATTATTTTTGAAAATAATAATATAAATTAATTTTTTTTTAAACATTTTAAAGCATAATTTTTTTTATTTTAAATTTTGTTTATTCTATTAAAATGTTCATCGAATTTTGCCAAAAATATTTCTTTTTGTTATTTTTAGTTACAAAAAATATTTTAAATAAGTTTAAACATAAAAAAGTTGCAAAAAATTACGAAAAAAAAATTCGTTTATAGACTTAAAGTTGGTTTTTACAATACATATAAATTTTAATTTTGATTTGAAAATTTATTTATTAATTTTAAAATTTATTGGTTAATTTTTGAAAATCCTGGGATCTTAATTTTTTACTTATTGATGATATTTTGTTTACTAATATTTGAATTAATTTACGCAAAAAAATCTATAAATCACTTAAAATTTTTAAAATCGAAAACGTCACGGATATAACAAATATCAAAAAATATGCAGAAAAATATGAAAAATACTGTTATTTTAAATATATTAATAAAAATCAGATTTGAAAAGATAAATAAAAATTGAAAAAAGGAAATATTTGTCTTTGTAAAAACAAAATAAAAATTTTATAAACTTAACAAAAAAAGAATTTCCACCATAAAAACCAAATAAAATAAAAATTACAAATATAATTGTATATAACCAATTATAATTAAATTATGAAAAATCGAAAACAGTAAAAAAAAAATTATATTTAGAAAATGTTGTTTTAAAGAATTAAACAGAAAAAAAGTGTTTATATTTTAGAAATTTTGAAAAAAGTCAAACTTCCACTTTAAAATAATATTAAAATCGTATATAATTAATTAAAACAAATTATCGAAAATTTAAAACATTAAAAATCAATATTAGATATAAAAAATTTTGATTACAAAAACAAAAATTGTTACAATTAACTAAAGTTAAATTTAAAATAACCTAAAAGATTGAAACTAATATTAAAGTAAACAAATTTTATTAAGAATTTTACTAAAAAAAATTTTAAGAAAAATATTTTTGAAATATTTTTAAAAATATAAATACATAATTGTATACATTAATTAAAATTAAGTAATGAAAATTTCCAAACATTAAAAATTAAAACTAAATTAATTTTTCTTTTGTTTTAAGAAAATTTGTTGATTTTTTTTAAACTATAAATACTTTGTAACAGTAAGTACTATAATATTTATTCCAAAGCATACGAATTACAAATCAGTGAGGTTGCGTATACGCACTGCACACCTTCAATTCACTTAATAAGCCAACTAAGAGTAGCACATTTTGAAATCTGCGCTCTTGCAATCCCTCTAAGAGACACAAACACAGAGAGCGCATCACTTCAGTTGACTGGAAAACTGAAGAAAATGCCAAAGTTATAAAAACCAAAACACTAGCGCAGCACTCGAGCAGTTGAACGGCGGCAGCAGCGGTGGCAGCACCTTCGAGACTCGGAAAAAGTCGTGGTAAAAGTGTGTTAAACAAATATATAACGGTTTTTAACAAAAATATATATATATGTACGTAAATGCGTATGTGAGCACGAGCGCGCGTTTTACTACTACACTTTGTTGTTGTTGTTCAAATTACGTGCTGCATTTTTTTTGTTTGGGATTTTTTGGAGCACAATTTCAAAGTGCTTAGGAATTTTGCTTGAACGATTTGCCGCGCGTTAAGTAGCCTCTTGTGTGTGAGTGTGGGAAAATATATTTTTATGCGCTCATAAAAATTTAAAATCACTATTAGCAAATATTGAGCAGTAAAAATATAAAAAATATAAATAAAAAAATATTTATAAAAATATATAAAAACAAACAAAGATTTTTTTTAGATATAAAAAATTATATGGCAAAGAAAATACTGAATGGCAGCTGCTGACGTGCATATCGGCCAGATCGCAATAACAGCAACAACAAGTTTGGCAAATAATGAAAATAATAAAGATAAAAATTTATAAGTGCGTTATTGGCGAATTTGTCGTAAAAATAAATTGCGGTTAAGCGCTTGAAAGAATTTGCTTTGGATTATACTGCAAGCTGCCAGCAAGTGTTCAACAATAGCAATCGGTTGATGGCGGCGCGACGGACGTTCATAGCAGAGTGTAAATCATTCACAACTATTTGTATACACACACGGCACAACTAATACAAAACACCAACAATAAAGACAAATAAATAAAAAATATTTGGCTTACACTTAGCGCTAGCTGGTTCATGTGTGTGCGCAAGCATATGTGTGGGTGTTTATGGCTGCGCTTGTGACCAAACATATGGAAGTGTAGACGTTGCTGCCAAAGTGGCGAAAGTAATGGAAATATATACTTGTATATGTATGCAATGCATATATACTGTATGTAATATATATATGTATTTAGGTGTGCATTATGCTTAATGAATTGATTGCAAATTATTAATTTGCGCAAAGCAGTGGAAAAATAGCACGCCATTAAAATTTCAGGTTCAACATAAAAACATGAAAAATAATAATAAAAAAAAACAGTTTTCTTTTTTTAAAAGCACAGTTTAAAGTTTGCAGCGATATTGAATACTAAAAATGCAATAAACTTTATATGATTGAAAAATTTGGGTGCTGAAATTTTTTGAAAATAATAACAGCTCAAAAAATCACTAGGCGACAATAGCAGCGGAAAACAATTGAATCAATAACCAAAACTGCTGGAAATGTGTAAAAAAATATGCTTGTAGTTTAGAAAAAAAGTAAAATAAAAGTTTATAAAATTTCGATTTTTGGTAAAAAAAAAATTTATAAAAAACATGTTTGCTCTTTGGTTAAAGGTTTGAAATTTATTTTTTGGTAACAAAAATTTTAATTAGAAAGAAATTGTAGCCAAATTTCGAGATTTCGGCTAAAAAATTTAAAAAAATATAAAATATGTATGTTTTGAACAAAAATTAAAAAAGAAAAAATAAAAAATAAATAACAGAAAATTGTAACAGAAAAAGTTTTATTGAAAACTATATACAAAAATTAACAAAATTTCAATTTTTGGTAAAGAAAACTGGTGAAAATACACCAAGAAGTAAAAGTGTGTTTCGTCACATCGAATCGAAAAAATATTTCCAAATACTAGAAAAAAACATACAGTTGCATATAAATTTCGAGTTTTGCGGTTAAACTTTTTTTTAAAATGTCAATAAAAATAATAAAAAATATTATAATTTAAAATACACGAAAATACATTAAATTTTTTATTAAAATTTTATGAAACTTTTTTTTTTTGAGCATTAAACGAAGCCATAATATTAAATTTTATTAAATTTTAATTAAAATTTTATAAAACCTTTTTTTTGAGTATTAAACGAAGCTATAATATCATACACAAGCACAAATGATTCTATGGAAGAACTTGATTTTGAGCGGTCAGTTTGTATGCCAACTATATGTATGCTATAATGGTTAGATCTAAACAGTTTCTTCGGAGATTCTACCGATACTTTGGACGGTAATCCACGTAAAATTTTGTGAAGATATCGTCAAGTTAAAAAAGTTTTACATACAAGCACTTAATTCTGTTCGTTCAGTTTGTATGGCAGTTATATGCTATAGGCATCCCATCGGAACAATTTATTCCGAGATTGCACCATTGCTTTAGGCAATAATCCATGCCAAATTTTGTGAAGATATCTTGACAAACATAAAAGTTTTACATACAAGCACTTGATTGATATGTTGTAGGGGTCCGATATCGGCCAAAAACTTTCTAATCGATAGATCAAAAAATGACTAGTTCGCGTATATACGGATGGACGAACGGAAAGCCAGACGAACATAGAACATAGCTTATGTATATACTATGTATCTATCTAGGGTTTCTTATAAAAGATCGAATTGCAGAAAAATTTTATTTTTTTAAAACTAATTTTCAACAAATTTTAAGCCAAAAAATTTAAACGTTTTAATCAAAATTTTACGAAAATAATTTTTTTTTGGATTTTTAATTTTAAATATTTTTAAATTAAAAAAAAATCAAAAATTTGGAAATTTTTATCTTGAAGAATATGAAAAATGTTGATAGACGAAAAACAAATTTAATTAAACGTCAAAGAAAATTAAAAATATTCTTAATTAACGGACAAGCAAAAAGAAATATAAATAATTTTAAATTTTTTAATATAAATTATAATTTTGAGAAAGTACAAAACCAAAAAAATTCTAAAAAATTTTCAAAACATTTTGTAATATAAAAATCATATTTAATTAAAATAAAATTGAAGATTTTTTTTGAAATAATTAAGTTTTTTCGCCACTTCGGTTTTTTTTGTTTAATTATAATTTTTAAAAGGTCCAAATCAAGAATATAATAATTATTTCTACGAAATTTTTCAAACAATTTGTAATTTTCAATATTCATATTAGCTTCCAGCTGAAAAATTCATAAAAAAGTAGTTAGTGAGCGCCAAAAATAAATGTTCAAAACTGTGAAGAAAATATGACAAAATGAATGCGGCGAAGTTCTAATGTCTACAAAAAAGACCACAAACTAAAACAAAAACCAAAAATGCACGCCAAACTATAACGAAAGTAAAAGCAAGTAAGCGCACAAGCCCAGTGCTCCCTAAGGAATAAAATATCCTTCACAACAACACAAGACCCCAACCAACCTCCAGGTCACCGTCCACGCCGGCGATGCTTTTGGAGTTTTTTAAATATGCCACAAGACTGCTGAGGAACAATATGACAACAATTATACTTGCTACAACAACAGCAACCGCCACAACGCCTACACTTAATATAACAACAAATTTCACAACAGCTACCACAACAAACATTTCTAATATCATCTCCAGCGCCCTCCCAACACATAACGGCATGCTACCCGAACAACCCGCCACAACGCAACCCCCATTGGAGTTCTTCAACTCTACACTCAAAACGTTCTTCAATAAAACACTCGCTAATGTGGCGCAGACTAATTTAAGCGATTACACCACACCATCACCGCTTTTCAATGGCACCGGTGTTGTCGGCGGCATGGCGGGCGGTACATTGACTGGTGGCGCAGCAACGGTAATGTCTGCTCTGCCTACGTTGCCGGTGTCGCGTTACGCCATGGAGGCGACCACATCATTGCCAGCACAAACGGTGGCCACATTCATGGCGGCGGGGAACAAGAATCGCGCCACAATAATTGTCTATCCCACAGGTGGGTACGTAGTGAGTTAAGTGTGAAAAACTATTGGTTGAATTATAGTTATACCTATAGACGTAGAATACTTGAATGTCTGTTGATGTAGGAAGGTGAGGTTAGAATTGATTTTGTTTAGTTAGCGAAGACTTTCTGATTTGAAATGTTGTTTTCTCGGAAGTAGCCAATCTATTATTTCCTATGACCCCTTAAAAGCTCCGTAAAGCAATCAAAGTGAGACCAAAAGTACAAACCGGTCTATAAAATTTCCGTTCTACCCCTAAACTATTTTTAAGACAATCAATCTTATGCCTAAGAACGCGAGGTTTATCCTACAGTATAGCTAAATTTAATAATAATAAAGCTGTCTCCAAAAAACTGCTCGTTTTTGATTCAGATTTCTTTCATGTTCTCTTAATTTGTTGAAAGATCCACGTTCTCGTATAATTTTTTAAGATATTGAAAAGTTTTACTTTGTTGCGGATATATTTCGTTCAAACAAAAAGTACTTTCAATCCTAAATCTACAAAGAGGTCATTTGGCTTCAGTAAAATAAAAATATATCAAGAAGGACTCAGCCATTACCGACTTTTTAGGGACTTTCTGACTTTCTCCTAGCTCAAAGCAATCTCTTCTTCTTTGACCTCAAGCAGTAACTCTTTAATGATGGAATTATTCTTTAAGCAATAAGGTCTCTCGAGCCAAATTCAGACCACCAAAAATATTTTGGCCAAAGAATAATATTATTTCTACGAATAATATCTTTTTGTTGACCAATCTCTTTAAAACCCCTGATCCTTGAGCCACTAACCAAGTTGTTCTTTAACTTGAGTTACACAATAGAATTTTTTAGGTAACGATCGAGGAAATGTTATCGACGAGCTTTGATGACCAGGAGGATGCTGTTTTATCTGCTTCAAATGACATATTTACCTTAGATTCCTCGGATTTTATTGATTTCAGAGAGCTTTTAAAATTGTATAAGTTGATATTTAGTAAAACAAAAAAAGTTTAGGGCAAAAACCAGCAGTCACAGCGGATTTGCTACAAACTGCAAGGCTGGTGACCTTGCTAGAGGGGGCAACCTTACCCCAATTTCATCCGATTGGATGTGTATCAATACTCCGTTGTTCTCTTGCGCTCCAGCGTTAGACCTATAAACTTTTCGCTAGCTCGGCAAGCGCTGTTTAACAACCGAAACTGGTTTGGCTGCGAGATCCTTCTCTGAACTCTTATCTAACTGGACATCGTCGAATAGGCTCACACGCGGTACTGCAAAATATTTTGTAGGACGCTTTTTGTTTAAGTTGTACAGAGGAGGGTGAGGTAGAATCATTTAGTCAGTTTCTATTTTTGCACAGCTTTTGCTAGACTAAGATTGAAATAAATAAATCGTCGGTCTATGAGGATCCGTTGATACAGTTTTAGAAGTTTTCTGGGTATCAGAAAGAACCAAAGTGCACAGCTGCCCAAGTGCGATCCAGCGCTATCTTTGGCGCGTGGATCAACTCTACGACCTCATCTAATCTAATACTTGTATATTCTCTGACGCGAAAATCCCTCCGAATCTGATTGAGTTTTAAGGGAATGGGGGGTGGAAGTTTACAAGTCCCCCAATCTGTATATTTTCTGCCGTATTTTCGTAATTATTTTGCCCCAGCGAGTAAATAGGTTAAAAAGCATGAAATCATATTACAATTTCTTTAAGCGTGAGATGCCTATTCTATACTCCACTGAAACTCTTTTACCCGGTGTGGTAAAAAAATCCCGTCAAGTTTTTCATTAAAGTCAAATGTTCAATTTGTATGTGACTAATACACGAGCAGTCTACATCTGCTTGGAAAATGTATATGAAAATGAATTGGAAAAGTTCAAAGTTAGAAGAATGGTGGTGGGTGGAGAAGGCTGCGCATTTTGACAACAACGTAAACTAACTTCCTCAACTTGTCAACCAGCCAAGTATGTAGGCAGGCAGGCAGTCAAGCAAGAAGTTAATGAACTCTTTAGCGGCGTAACTTGCCCTCCCACCCAATTACATGCAGCCATATAACGCTGTTGCTCACGCTCCTTACGCTTGAAGCCCTATCAGAAAGGCTCAGAAAGGCGCAGAAAGTGTTGGACTAGCTAAGATAGCCGAATAAGCTTAGACAAAGTTTTTATTGCAGCTTTTTTCGCTTTGCAAAGTTTGCGAACAAGTAAAGCGAGCGCTTGCATGTGTTTCGGCAAAATGTTTGCGTAAAACTTTTCGCCTTGTGTTTATGTCATGCATAAAGAAACCTGTCAAAGCGACGGAGCATTGCCGAAAAGTTATCGATACTAGGAAGTAAAGCGCTTGTTAGCGCGTGAGTTTTATTTAAGCAGATGACACGCACCTTGGTTGTTTCTAGATACCCCCCATCTACCAAAACAAAAGCAACTTTTCTTATTAAAGATTTTCGCATTATAAAAGCTAGTAATATGATGAAAAGAAAAATCGCTGAAGTTTATTACTTTTGGAGTTGTTCTGGCAAATATAGAGATTAGAGTTACTTCCGAGAAATGTGCCTGACAGTCGGCGGGCACAGCTGACACCGTTATGCGTCCAGTTGGAAAATCGGTTAATTCAACTGGAATAGCGATTTTCGTACGACACAAAATGGCTGACGAGTAGTTGAAGAAGTTCGAGTTGTATGTTTGCTGATGTTGTAGAAAAAAGCTGTGATAAATGACTTTCATTGATGGACATTTATAATTGTTTTTATGACTTGGTTAAGTGATATTTATACTTGATTGATTGATGACTATAACGAGTGCATTTGAATGAAATGTAAATAAATTTCTTGGAAACGATTTTAAGCAACTATAATATAGTGGAATACGAAAAAGAATCCGACCAAAAAATTTTGGACTTCCATTTTAACTTTTATGTTAAGTCATTCATGTAGAAAAATAAAGCTGATTACAAAATTTTGAAGTTTGGGGTATAATTGGATCGCTTTACTCCTAAAACTAATTACGAAAATTTGGGAAGAAGTGATACAGTTACCATCAAGCTCACAAAGCTTATTTGAGTTACGAGTTTCAGCACTTTCAATACATTCAGAATTGAGTGGGACAGTTAGAAAGATATTATAATGACTTTGAATGCAAGCATTGTTTAATGATCGGGAATATTTTCGTAATTTAGTAAGAAGTGAGATAGAAGTGAGCTTTAAATGCAGTGTTTCACAAGTTCAATTATTGATTGAATTAATACCGACTTCGAAATAGTTGTATAACTCAATAAATTTGTATTTTTGAAAGCTTCTGTAATAGAGATCTTGTCATACTTTGGACAATTTGCATCTTTTTTATTTGACGGAACGACGAAATCTTTACTGTTTGCTTGTAGGGTGGAATTTCAATAAAGTATTTTGCTGAAAGCGGCTTTTATTGAGATATTGTCACATTTTTTCGAATTAAGTCATTTGGCACATAGGGAACGTTTGTATTTATTAAGTAATTAGTAAAAATTGCTATCTAAATCTATCATTGGGACGGCGAAATTTCTGCTGATTGCTTGTGGAGTAAAACTTCAATATAATATTTTGGTTTCAGTCTTCAAGAAAGTTGTGACATAAAGTTTTCGTATGAAGTCATGCGACACATCTGTGAATGCAGTGTTTAGCAAGTTCAATTATTGTTTGGTTTCATGTCGGCTAGGAAATAGCATTATGTCTTAATAGATCATTGCTTTTGAATGCCTAAGTAATAAAGATCTTTAAAAAATAATCGAATTTCCTCTTGTTTTTCTTGATCGGTACTTCCGAATCTCTGCTGTTGGCTTGCAGACTGGAACTCTAATAAAATATTTTGATATTTTTCTCAGTCTACAAAAACATGTTGTCACACCTTTTTACATTTAGGATATTATATTATTCGAAAAAAAAACAGCACGAATTAATGCATACACCCAATAGTTCAGTATACCTCGAATCACTGCGTGTTCCTAAGTTATTGAGTATTAACATTTTGAACGCAGTGTTTCACAAGTTCAGTTACACCTAACTCAAACTTCTTCTTCAAGTTGCATAATATTTCAGTGCTTAAGTGTGTGCTTTTACGCTCTGCTTTGTGCTCTAAGTATGCGCTGTTTGCTTGCTACTTCTTCCCTCTTCCCTAAAAGCCAGCTATTAATATCAAAAGTATGCATTTAATATGGTACGTGGTAAGAAAGTTCCGCCTCTTATCAGCCAGCGCGCTGCCATTAAGTCAATATCTACACTCTGTACTCGTTACAACCCTTTTCCATCACCTATTTTCTCTATGCTGATTTAAAAAGTTAATAATATGGGTATACCATATATGTGTGTGTCTGTCATCTATTTGCATATGGACGTTTCTCCGCTTCTTCCAACGCCAAGTGGCTTGCTTGTTATTGTTGTTGTTGCTGTTGCTGTTCATGTCAGCGCACATTTGTTTCAGTTGTGTGCTATTTAACCTTTCTGTGGCATTTATGTTAACTTCCTTTAGTTTTTTCCCAACGTGCTACTGTAAATAAATTCCCCTTCTAAATATTGCCAAGAATGTGGCTAAGCATGTGTGTATATATGTGTGTACGTTACGTTACTTTCCGTGTTTGCAGTTGGTATACTTTGCAAGCATGTGTTTGTGCGCATATTAAATTCCCCAATGAAAAATTTACGTAATCTATCAACTCACGACAGGGTGTACTAACGCAAACACACGCACACATACACTCGAGCACATAAAGCCGCATATTTGCATGCATATTTTTGCCTGTAAAAATGTAGTTTATATAACTTGCTGTGCGCCGGCATGCATACATGCATTACTATATTTTTAAGCTATTTTTTATTATTATTTTTAGATTTTTCCATATATTTTTTTTAGTTATTTTTATACTTCTCCTCATATTTGATTATTATTTCTTCTACCTTCGTTCTGCTATTTTTTATATACACTTCATGTACATATGTTGCCTTTGCAGCAGTTTGTACGTTTCACATTTCCTTTCAACTACACACGTAAACTGTGCC